GTTTTTTCCTCTCTATTTGTAGCATACCTGCCTCCTTCTGTGATGCTGCCCCCTCGTCGACTGCACACCCTGCTCCGGCAAGCAGTGGAGCTGCAGAGGGACCGCTGCCTTTATCATAACACCAAGCTGGACAATAACCTGGACTCGGTCTCTCTCCTCCTTGATCACGTCTGCAGCAGGTTAGTACTGCAAAGCTAGCATGTTGCACTGTCTCCGAGACGCCAGACTTTGCTAAATTACAAAACTGTAATATTTTACTCTTGTTGTTATAAAACCAAAATGTTGGAGCTCCTTGTGATTCTAAATGTTGTTTTTGGAGTGGAAGTCAGCTGATTTTTCTCTTTAATGACATACTCCACTACTATGTCTCCACTACTTCTTTTCTTTTGTACCTTGATGCTTCGTATATTTTAACCTGTCGCATTTTCTCTCTCCTATTTATTTGCTGTGTATTGTAATGCCCCAAACACCTGTAGCTCATCAGGGAATGGACATGCAGCCTCTGGGGGTGTCCTCTGGTGTCTGGAACGTTGACACTGGCAAAGGATCCTTTAAGTCTTTTGTAGTGTGAGATAGGGTGAAGTTGATAGGTTGAGGGAGTGGGGTGTTTAGTGTGCACCAATGTTTAAGTAGATGGTACATGTCAAAGCAATATCCAGGATAAATCCAGGATTTTCCAGCAGATAATCACTGTTGTTCACAACCGGTCAGTGGTTTTACTGCTGTGGCTCATCTAAAATCGATTGTTTTAACTGACACAATGAAGGGAAGATGAAATTCAAGTTCTTTAAGGCTCTGGTTGCTCTGTCTTTGTTCACACACCCTTGGAACAATGCACAAAAGTCACCAACAGTGCCTTTGGATTGGCAGACTGAGGATTGACCTCTTTATAAAGGGCGAGCAGTGGGTGTGTTACATCTTCAGAGGATCACAGTTCAGTGCAGTGGTGCTGGCGAGGAGAGTCTAAGCATTAGTTCAAACTCCGGTTCGGAAAGAAGAATATGGAAACTGGGCCAACTGTCGATCTCAGGGGATAGTACAGGGTGTGTTGGAGTTTTCCCCATAAATCTACATGCATATTATGGACCTGGGAAAATGCATATGACCAAATCCTTTAGGGGACTCGCTCCATTTAGTAGAAGAGTTCAAGAACTTTGCAGGCTTCTTCATGAGTGGGGCAAGGGTGGAATGGATAGAAAGATCAATCAGAAACTGTAGTGATCTGGGCACTGTGACTGTTTTGTGTGGTGAAGAGAGGGCTTAGCCCAAAGCTGATGACTTTCTGGTAGATCTTACCCTCACCAGTGAGCACCAGCTGTGGGTAGCAACTAAAGGATTAAGAATACAAGGAACAGAACCAAGATTCTTTCAAAAGGTGTCCTTACAAGTGTAAGGATTAGCGATACCAACTGTTAGCTACAAAGTGATGGGCAACAAGCCAAGTGTTTTTCTTTTAGGTGGGCTGTAGAGCTGGTGGGAGCTCTGCTTTGCATGAGGGGCTCAAAGTAGAGCTGCTGCCTCTGTGCAGTGAAAGGAGACAACCGAGGTGATTAAGGCTTAGACGGCTGCCCCGGCCACCTGGACCTGGGTTAAATGGATGACTGAATTAAGATTTTAACTTTTTCATCTTGTGTGTGTGTGTTACAGGAAGCAGTTCCCATGTTACACTCAACAGATTCTGACTGAGCATTGTAATGAGGTGTGGTTCTGCAAATTCTCAAATGATGGCACCAAGCTAGCCACTGGCTCCAAAGACACTACTGTCATAATTTGGCAAGTGGACCCAGTAAGTTTTGGGGTTTTTTATTAGCATTTTAATTTCAGACTTTAAAATCTCTTGACAATTTTTTTTTTGTTGTTGTTGTTGTTTTTTTAATTTCCACAAATAAGGGCCCAGTCCATATTGTGTCTCAGGGTTTTTCTTTGTCCTCTTACTATCTGTGTAGGAGACCCACCAGCTGAAGCTGCTGCGAACCCTGGAGGGTCATGCATACGGCGTCTCCTACTTAGCCTGGAGTCCCGATGACACCTACCTGATCGCCTGCGGACCGGATGACTGCTCCGAGCTCTGGCTCTGGAATGTTCAGGTAAGGTTGATGCACGGTGGCTTCACTTGCTAACTTTAATGCTATATTACCTCTTCAAACAGCAGAGAACATAATAGTACAGTTGTTTAGAAAAGTATACATGGGTGAATCTCAAAATCTTTCTTTTTCAAAATGAGGAAACGTGTGCTGGATAACCTGCCTTAGATACTCTGTAGTGTGCTGTGTGTACTCAGTGACCTCTCCGCTTCACGGATCCCCTTCTGTTTCCTTTCCTGTTACTCAACCCTCCCCCACTCTTGCTTTATATTTCTTCTCGCTGTCTCCCTTCCCCCATTTTCTCTCCTCTTGATTTGCACTCGGTCTGTCAATCCCCCCTCTTCACCAGACGGGGGAGCTGCGGACCAAAATGTCCCAGTCCCATGAAGATAGTCTGACCAGCGTGGCCTGGAACCCTGATGGCAAGCGCTTTGTCACTGGAGGACAAAGGGGACAGTTTTATCAGTGTGTAAGTTAATTATTTTTTTATTCTCTCTCTATGTCTAATGCACAGTTGTTTTTAGTTTGTGTGCTTTCGTCAAATTTTTCACCTTTTTTTTTTCTTGAAAATAATTAAGTAGTCATCTCAGCTATTTTGTTATATTTTTGTTGAATTTTTGTTGAATTTAACTTAAGTTTTAACTGCTGTAACAATTTTTCCACGTTTGGTGCTAAATAAAGCATATCTTATCTTGTTATCATTGCTTCTGTTAATCAGTGCTGAATTCCTGGCATGTTTTCATAATGGCGTGCTGGGGAAGAGAGAAAAGGAAAAGAGATTTGGTTGTGTTAGCAGCTGTTAAACGTCTATTGAAATGCTGGGATAACCTTTATCAGGTTTTCAAACAATCATAGGCTCTTTCAGTATTGTGATTTTCTATCCAACTTACTGAAAGAGCCCATAAAAATATGTTTTTCACAGTTGATCTACAGCTATCTGTGTGTGCTTTGTGACTAAGCATGTCTTTCCCCTCCCAGGGTGGTTCCCTGTACCTTTTAATGAAGAGTTTTGACACTGTGATATATATGAATAAAGATGTGGTTTGACCATTGGAATAAGTTTGGGATTTTTCCCAAAGGTTTCCCCTCGTAAGCTGATCATCCCCACTAACTTCTGTTTCACAATCGGTCATTTTGTCCTGGAAGTAGGCCTGAAATATGACAGAAACCACTTAAACCACTTCACAACAGAGAAACAAGTGCTTCCCCTCGTAAGCGTCCAATGGAAGTAAGATTTTAGTATGATTGCCATACTATGCTGTTTCAGTGTTTCTCTTCTCTGATGTGTGTATTTCAGGACCTGGATGGCAACTTGTTAGACTCCTGGGAGGGTGTGAGAGTGCAGTGCCTGTGGTGCCTGAACGATGGCAGGATAGTGCTGGCCTCAGACACCCACCAGCGTATCCGAGGATACAACTTTGAGGACCTTACGGACAGAAACATGTATGTGTCAGCACTCCTCACCCCTGCACTGTTGTATACCTACATGAAATATTGTTGACATGTGCCATTTTTCTCAAGGGGCTAATCCAGGTGTAATGAATCGCTAATCATGGTAGTTGCTGGAGTTGATCTCTTCTGATGCCGAGCAGTGCTCCTTTTATAGCTATGGTTTCACTTTAAAACGGATGAATACCACAACAAACTCTTCCCGAATTTTAGGAACTCTACAGCTGTCTGTAGTATTTGCTCTAAAATATCACGTTATACTTATCAGTTACATCACACATCACAGTGCCTGACAGGCTGTCTTGTTCACATGTCCTTTACAGAGTTCAGGAGGACCACCCTATCATGTCTTTTACTGTTTCAAAGAACGGAAGATTAGCTTTGTTAAATGTAGCAACTCAGGTAAGCTACTGATCAATTCAGGCTCTTTACAGCATCAGTCCTGCTAAAATGCATGGCTGCTTTGTTTTGCTAAACGGTGTAAAGTATCCTTCAGTAGTTACAGTATGTTGGTCTACACCTTTTTGTAGGGAGTGCACCTGTGGGACCTTCAGGACCGGGTGCTGGTAAGGAAGTACCAAGGTGTTACCCAGGGCTTCTACACAATCCACTCCTGCTTTGGAGGACACAACGAAGACTTCATTGCCAGTGGCAGCGAAGGTACAGTCAGAGTGCTGTGGGAATAAATGGCCACGTTTTCACTATGTTTGTATGAGTCTTCTTTCAGTGTAATGTTTTCTGGTCCAGTGTCCTTTCTGCGTGTAGCTCTGTATGACTTCTGATCACCATTATAGTAGTGAGTAATTTGTGAAAAGTAACTTAAATGCCTTAATTAGGATGGTTAAAGCCCTTAGCAGCCAATTCCCAGCCAGCCCAGATCCTTTGCTGTATTTCATTCCTCTGCACCCTTTCCCCATATTTCCTTGTGAAATATGGGGAAATGTTTCTTCCTTTCATTCAGTTTCTTTAAACTTTCTAAATTCCGATCGGTGTTGTCTTTTACATTAATTCCCCTACAATTCGAACCCTGTTTTCTTCCACCTGTTTTATTGCTTTCTTTATCTGTTGCCACAGACCACAAAGTATACATCTGGCATCGGCGTGGTGAACTTCCTATCGCTGAGCTCACAGGCCACACGCGCACCGTTAACTGTGTGAGCTGGAACCCGGCCATCCCAAGCCTCATGGCTTCTGCCTCCGATGACGGCACAGTACGCATCTGGGGCCCTGCACCCTTCCTCGAATCACAAGAGGCAGATGGGCTCAACGGTAGTTATAACTGTTGGTTATAACATGATTTTATTTTATTTTTGTTTTTGTTCATGTTGATTTATGCTAAAATTCTCCTCAAATCACCATTTTGATCTACTAAATGTTTATTTCCTTCTCAGAAAACTGCAGTCACATGGACAGTTGATGGTCACTAATAGAGCAGAAACCGTGTCTCTAACAACAAACAACATCCCACAGTAAAACACAATATTCATGGGCGAAGAAAACCCAGCATCCACATATTGCAAGAGAAGAATAACCAACAAAAAAAGAGAAAACATACGGAAGAAAATTGTCTCCTCACTGGTCTAGAAAAAAATAGCGAGTGTGAAGACTGACCGAAAACTCGTCTTCATCCGAAATCCAATTCTGACCTAAAGGCCTGATAAATGAGTCGGCGCCCAGCGGGATACTCCCTGGAGAGCTGTAATGGCTGTTCTCCTCTTCCAAGCAAACCCTTCTTCCTCCATGTCCTTGCGTGGTCACCAGCCATGCCAGGTCCTCACAAGTTTCCCAGGAAACCCACCTCCACCTGGAGCTTGGAGCACATCAAGTCCCTGTGATGCCTCCAGACAGACACCGCAGATCAGCCGTCTGCTCACTGGACTACATCTGTGTGCCTGTCTGTCTCTCACGTTACCTGTATAATGTCTCCATGGACTTGGGGTGGGGTCTTGCTGGGGGAGGATGGTGCATAGAGGGGGGATATAGCAACTATTCTGTATGTATGTTTTCCTCTCCCCCTCTTTCTTGCTATATTAACATTCAATCTTTTGGACAAAGGCTGAAAGTCCACAGTGGAAACATTGACTGACCAGCTGAAACACAGACAAAAAAAAGGCTATGCTAAATGTTGGATTTTTTTATGATAGTCATAGGGTTTATTCTCATTTAAGAGGTGAATCTTAGCAAGTAGTGCCCTTGGAAAGCTTTAGTGTGAAGATTCCACTTTTTGTTTCTCAACATTAGGAAAATAAAATCTTTTTATTCCTTAATTTAACTGCTAAAGGACAGTTGCTGTTCTGTTTCCAACTGACAGTACCCCCCCCCCCCCCCCCCCCCCCCCCCCCCCCACCCGCACACACAGTCTGTCGAGCTAGCTACCGCACAACTCCATTACATCTGCCTAAGAGGAGGACAGAGGAACTCACAGTTCACATATCATCTGGGAGAAGGGAGGGGTGGGTCTTTTGTTGTTGATAAGGTGGCGTTTCCACTATCAAGACATACACTTTGACCTTTCTCAAGAGACATGCTTTCAGATGTGAAAAGTGCAACTTTTAATGCACATCAGTGACTGCTGTTCCTCCTCTGTGAGTGTGTGAGTGAGAGTGAATGAGCGATTATGCATGCACACATTAGTATGAGAGCTGACGTTACTGAGTGCAGAATTAATTGGCGTGTGCTTTGTGTGTGTGAGTGTGTGTGTGTGTGTGTGTGTGCGTGCATGCATGTGTGTTCAATTCGCACCAGCAGATAATCCCCCACCCCCACCCTCTCTCCAATTCTCCTAATCCCATGTTAAAATTGTAAAGAGGATTTTAAAACCAGTTCTGAGTTACCCAAAGCCCCATAGGGACCTCTATCTGTGGAACAAAGAATACTTGAGAGCCATTTTGTAAAAGAAAGTCATTTGTTTGTTTTGTTTTTTTTAATCTGGGGCTTTAATTTTTACATTCAGATTTTTTTTCTCTTTTATTTTTCTCCCTACCACGTGGCATTTAAGCGACACTGAACCAGTGACATCTGCTTTTTGTTGGTTTGGGGAGGAAAAGGAAATTTCAAAAGAGCAATTCGAGCGAGACATGTTTCCAAAAAGCTGTAAAGTGTTGTTATTAGCAAAGAGTAATTTCTTATGAGAAGTTAATGATTGTAATTAATGGACGTGTAGTAGGACAGCCCCAGAGAGGAGAGGCACCAGTACCCAGATCCACGCTTTGAGCGCACAGTTAGGGAGTGTTGTTGCAATCCTGGGAACGCACACAAACTGCCTTCCTGTTTATACAGTTGCACACAAACCTTCACTATGTACGGCAGCACCCCCCCTCCCCCAAACTGCACTTTGAGTAGTCTTTTCTGCTCTCTTGCACATACAGCAATGGCATAAATCCATGAAGTTCCCAGCCTAAAACGTAAAATGTTACATTGGTGAAGACGTAACCTACATAGGAGATTGCTTAAAGGAAGCAAGCCCTTACTATGCCTCTATGCATCTAAAAAGCAGTGGCTTGTCTTTGACTTTTTGAAAGCTCGCCCTCATTCTCAAAAGGCGTAGCAGCCTCTTCTCGAGGGTACCGCTGTCGAGCTTAGAGAGAATTCAGCATTAACCCCCGCACCCCACTTCACTCTCTAGCCAAGTTATTCAGTGGTCAGTGCACCATTCAAAGCTTTCTTCCTCCCTTTTCGAGGGTATGTAATGACTATTTGCTACAGACTGATATACAGTGAAATGTTTCAAAACAGTGCTTTTCTGTCTGTTTTTATTGGACTTTTTTGTTACTTTTTTTTTTCCCTTTTTTTTTGTTGTTCATATATCATTTTTTGGTTGATCTCTTTCTCTGTATGATCATATTAAAGTATAACCAGATATTTGGAGTCCTTTTTGTTTTTGTTGTAATCTTTATAACCCTTTTTAACTCTTTTATGTTTTAAATATATTTTGTTCATCTGTATTCAGTTGCATATTTTCTACCACTATCACAAAAAATAAAATAATATGCACAGTAACACTCATGCACCTAGGAGTGAGAAGAGTCGTAGGAAGTGTGTTACCTACAATCAAATCAGGTTTGATCTATCCACCCCTCGCCTTTAAAGAGTTTCCTTCATGTGAAAATCTTGTTTTATCGCATGTCTGTGTACGCGACCGATCATCCCTCTCGGCGTGCCGTTGTAGATTGGCAGTGGCTACTTCTCTGACCCCACATCAAAGCCAAATTTACTTGAGGCACTTGTGTATGTGTTGATCTGATATTCACACATTGAAAACCTCTATCTTGACTCCTAGACCATAGAATGGACTCCTCTTCCACACCCTGCATCATTTCAGAAGACTTGAGACAAACGGTACACACCAAGACCCCGAATAAGAGTTCCAGTAAAACCCATCGTTCACCTGCTGGTGGCAAATGCTATGTCTGTATGCAACCTGGTGTCTGCTCTGTTCTTTTGTCTTGGGTTTACCAAGGGACTTGTTTCTGATTTAACTGTCTTATTTCTCAGAGGTAGAGGTGGTGGGTGGGGGATACTAAGGGCTTACAGTAGCATCTCTAAGTTCCTTGGGTTTGGGCGGGAAGGGGAAATGTGTGGATTTACGTTCAATGTGTTATTTACAAAAGTGATTGTACTGTTTTGTATTGTTGTGTAGGGAAAGTGTTATGTATGCATATTTTCAATAAAGCATTCAGGGTTTTGAAAAAAAAAAAAAACAATAAGAATGGTCCATCGCCGTTTGGTGGGGCAGGAAACTTAGGAACCTGTGAGATGCTTAGAAATCCACTCTGCTACTCTCCCATCCTTAAACAACTCGGCACAACTCGACCCCGAAGTCACCAATGTGGCAAAGCATTCGTGAAGGTCTCTGTTTCCAAGAGAGTTGGCACACTGTAAATAAAATACTAGAATAAATGGAACACAAGGAATGAAAAGAATTTAAATTTCAAAATAAATGAATAATAGAAATGTGACTTCGAAATTATACATGTACTCATTCTGAATTTGAATCATGCTGAGACGGGGACACCTTCACTCTTAAAATTTGTTGTGTATAATGAAAAAAGAGCTTCTCCATACTTGCTTCATTTCAATTGCTAAATAGTTCTGTGTCAATGTGTGGTTTAACATAGTCCTGCTGAATTAATCAAGGTGCGCTGCTCCCATTACCTGTGCATATCATTAAGTATTTGTGGTGCCTTCGCCAAGGTCCCATCCTATGTGCATTGAAGCTGCCTCTCCTCTTTTTACACCTTCATACCGAGACTCCATGACATTACTGACCTCTAGTGTGACGAGTCGTAAGCAGATTTATTTCACTGTTATCAAAATCAAAGTGAGCATGCATTAAAAAAGGCAATACTTGTGTTTCTTCATTTTCTTTGTACTATCAGATCAATAATTTCAATTCTGTACCAATCAATTCAACCATTACTTTTTCTATGGCTTTACAAAGCATTCCAACTTTTTGGAAACAGGGTTGTATTTTATTTGTCTTCAGTGATTTCTGAAAGGTCATGAAAGAATGTTTGGAGTCAGACCTTCTGGGAGGAGGCTACCTTTGATATCAACATGAGGAGACAATAGAATAATTAGAATAATTTAAGTTAGGCGTTGTTGGCCATTTCAATACAAAGATGGCTATTTTGAGTAGTAATAAGTACACGTGGAGTGGGCTCAAACTACAATATTTTATGTGAGCCCACAGTGCTCAACATTTAAGTGCAAGTCCAAGTGAAATTATTATTTTAAACTAAAAGCAATATGAAAACTATTGGCATAGCTGCTGAAATTCAAAAAAGGGGGAAAAAAAGAAACAGGTCACAATGACTGACAATAAACACCGGTTATGAAAAGGGGAACATCTCATTAAATACATTTTCATTAAATAAATTGTGATCATTTTGTTAAATTGTACTTTGACTTTTTTGGCAATATTGTGTTAGAGACTTTCATGCTAATAAAGCACCTTTGAATTGGAATTTGAAATATCGGGTCTATATTGAGACATGCAATTCTTTCATAATTACGGAAGCTTGTTTTCACCTTAGCAAAAAGTAAAACAATAAAAATAAAAATAAAAATAGATACATAAATACAATTGCCATCCAGAGCTAAGTTGAAATGCCACATTATTGTCTCTCAATTTTGAGTTACCTATGTCAGAATGTCCAAATTTCGAGATACAAACGCAAACCCAAAATATTGACTTTCAAACTGCATTTGTTTTATTCTTTTCTTT